CTTGGATGTGTTCAATGCCTCGCTTTTGCATGTCATCCAAAATGCCGCGATCTGTGAGCGCGTTATAGAGACCTCCGTTGCCGTCGGGAGCTCTCGACACTTTGTACGGCGTCTCCAAAATGATTTGTCCATCAAATTGAAAGCACGGGAAAGTGCTTTGTTCGAAGACAACCACGTTCTCAGCCGATAAACCAAAATAGTTATTCTTCTTAAAAAATTCAAGAGTGGGTTCTTTAGTGGCTTCAGAGGTCATGATATACCAGGGAATTGAACCCTTCTTTCCCGTCAACTCATACGCAAGTTTCTCGAGTCGAAGAATACGTTCGCCTTGTAATTGGTATAAAGTCTTATGGGAGGGGAGGCCGACGTCGAACATGCCTTTCGGGTAATTGACACCAAGTCGTGTCCCCTGACCGCCAGCCAATAGAAGGGCCGCCACTCGACCTTCAGATATCTGTCTCAAACCTGTAATACATTTATTATATATTTATTATATATTCGTATTTTCAATATTAATATTATTAAAATTCAAAGCATAATCAGTGAGCAATCATTTCCTTGATCTCAATTCTCAGGTTTATTTTGTTTTTTATCCCTTTAAGTCTTAAGGTTAAGGTTTAATATTAATTTTTAATTCATTTGATAAGAAATTAGTGGTCAAATGATAACAAGCATTAAGAATTTTATTTATTATTACAACATCAGCGCTCATATAAATCAAATCATGTTATGCTATATCTAATTACCGTTATATATGAATCGCAGTTAAGATTACACTAAATACTATAATCCCTTTGTTTCGTGTAATATATATTGTATATTATGAATAGGATTTAAGATAAACAAATATTATAGTTATAGTACAGCACTAATAACGGAATTCTTCATTCAATGTGTTTATATAAACACTTGAGATATTAATTTCAAACTTATTTTTAATAGACTTTTTGCACTGAAGTGGGGCTCAAAGTATTATAAATATCAATATATTTTTAATTTTATCATCAATTTCTTCCTTTTAAACAATTGAATAATTGTTTCAAAATCTTTGCGAAATTATGATAACTATGAGTATTCATAGAAAATACATTTCTGGCGCCTAATCCTATCACAGCGTTCACAAACGTTTTCATCAATTAATTACAGCAATTCAAGTGTATTGAAACTTGTAATCAATATTTAAAGTAAATTAGCTTTTCATCGGTTATATCAATACATAATGTAAAAAAAGAGTAAAATTTTTTAAACATTAAATCTATTTATAATTATAAAAGTAAACATTTTTCTCAAATTCATACAAATCTAAAAAATATTTGTGCATTCGTTAAGATATATCTTTAAATCAATTTTAATAACCTTATGGCTTGTTTATAGACTTTGAAAATAATAAAATTAAAATAACACTTTGGCTCTCATATTGTGTAAAACTTTGACCAACAAATGTTTTTCATGACTAATACTTTTAAAGATAATCAAACAACTATTTAATTAAAGCAATGTTTATAAAACTTTACAATTAAAACATCCCTTAAAACAAAAGCTCAAATAACTCACCACTTTCTCGATAGGAATCGAGTTTCTGTTTAGAAGTTCTTGTGATGCTTTCGTGTACTTCAGGTGAGAGCGGTTCCAACAAGTGATCAATTTTCTCATTTTGATCGTTGTTTGTATTGAACGTGTCGTTGAAAGCGCGACAAACGCGAGAAAAATTAATACTTTTTAAGTCGTTTAAAAGCAGTGTTTGCTGTTCACCACTGATTTGGTCCCAGAACTG